CGAAACGAATTGGATGAAAATGAAAGTAGAAGTTTTTTCCCCCTTCCGTCCATAATTCTATGCTAAAGATGAGTTAGAAATGTTTTCCGTCAATTATATTCGAAGGAGACTTTTTTTCTTTCTTCTTCCTATTTTGAAAGAGGTGAAATAAAGTTCACATATACACATTAAAATGGAACATCATCTAGGTCAATCAATAACAAAAAGATCCTCTGACGAAAGAAAGCTATTAAAAACCTCGCCGGCAGATATTTTATTTATGATCATAGTTTGAATTGCAAATTAATTTTTGAAACATGCGGCAAAATTGTTCCCTTTGCTTTAAAAAAAAATTTTTTTAATTATTTTTAATTTTTGCTAAATTAAATGTTTTATTATTAGAAATAAAATATATCTAATCAAATAATATGCTTTAATTCGAAATATTTTTTGATACTGAAATTAATTTAGCGAGATTAACTAATGGATTGGTACGAATGAATTCTTACTTATGAACGAAACTTATTAATGACTTCTGGTACACATTTTTGAAATTGTCTGGCGTTCTAATTTATCGTTAAAACATTAAATTACGTTAAAACAGCTACTTTTGGATCAACTTGAATGCAATTTTTCACTAGATTTGCAACATTAACATAAAATTAGGATAATTTAGATAAAAATAAATACTATTTCTTTGCATTTTAATTCTATATGAGCCCAAATTTGTTTCCTAAAAAGACATTGTTTAGAAAACTTCACCGATTATTCCTACATTGTCTCTAAGACGGAATTTTTTTCTCCATTTTTTTTCTTTACATATTTGCACTGACTCTTTCCAAAAAATTCATTTTTGTTGCCAAGGGGAAGGCATTGATTATTTTAGTTAAATTTGCATCAAAACTACAGAGAATTGACACCACGTCAAAAACATAAATCTATCGATTGCCAAAGTATCTGATTAGCGATTTTAGCGTGATGCCAGCACTATGCCATATTAAAAAAAATTATAGTTACAAATAACAGTACTGTAGAATAAAATTATTCCATCTAACTGCTGGAATAATAGCTCTGAACATTTCTTCTGCAAAGAATTGAACAACCAATAACATAGCAATCATATTGCACGTCTGACATTTCTCTCGTAATAATACAGAAAAAATAATAAAACTTTCTAAAAATTATTTTTCAATTAATTCACTTCATAAGAAATGATTTGTTTTAAGGAAAATTGCAGATAGAATGAGCAAAATTGATAACACGCGGTTTAGCTTACGCTATTTTATCAAATATCGGAAACATACTGATAACTTCCTTATTAATTTCAATAAATAGGCCACAAACCCTTTTTTAAAACATGCATATGTCACACGGAGATGAAAATCGTTTCATGTTTTTTTTTATCCTTTATCTACAGAACTATTGTGTTTGCTGAGGAAAAAAATAAGCGAGCGGTTTTAAAGGTCGTGGGTTCAAGCTTACGTGTTCAGTCATTTTATTTATAATATATTTTGATGTAATTTCATTTTTTGATAGAAGAAAAAAACATGTCAAATTAAGAACAATATTATTTTGAATTGTAGCAAGATAAAGGAGAAAGACAATTTTTTTTTCTAATCCTCTTAACATGACTTCACCTATTTTATTGGACATATGCAAGAAAATGTTAAATAAACATTAATTTTCATGTAAAAACAGAGATAGCTATTGTTTTCGATCGATACGTTCATAATCTATCTGAAATCGATGCTCGAAAAATCATAATGTAGCTCCACAGGATTCAATTCGATTAAAATGGAATTGAACTAATCAGAAAAGTATGATCGCTTTGAAATAATAGAGAATTGTAAAGGTGGCTTCCTTAATTTACAAGGAAGCTACATATAGTATGTTTCAATATGCTTTATATTATAAGTCTTTCTGTTAAAAAAGCAGCCGTTGCTGTTTATTGCATGCTGAAATGGCCTACTTTGAGATAGTATTTCTGACTGTTTACTGAATTGATTTTTTAAAAAAATGAACTTCGAAATTAAAATATGAAATTTAAGAAAATGTTAAATCGGAAAAGTGATATTTAATACATAGGTAAAAAATCACGGGCTAAATATGAAGTGTAGTATAATGTGTAATAATGAAGTATATTTTTATGTTTTGTTCTTTAACATTACTATTCATCTTTAACATCTCTCCATTACCTAAAGAATAAAATAAAAATTATTTGTTTTTTTAGCATTATCATTCATTGTATGCATTGAGAACAAAACGAAGAGTTTTTATTTTGTTCTTAGTACGACTGTCTATCGCTTCATAGCCAGAGAAACAAGACAAAATAATTTTGTTTAGTTCTAAATATAAACATCCATCTCTCCATAACCAGAGAAACCAAACAAAATGCTTTAGTTTAGTTCTTATTATTATCGACCATCGTTTCATAACCAAAGAAGCAAAACAAAACGCTTTTGCTCAAATCTTAATATAATCATTCATTGTCTTATAACCAGCGAAACAAAACAAAATGCTTTGGTTTAGTTCTTAATGTGATCATCCATAGTCCATAATGTGAGGAACAAAATAAAAATTCTTTCGTTCTTAATATAATCTTCCTTTGTTCCGTGACTAAATATAATAATAATTCTTAAAGCATATTAAAAACTATAAGCTAGCTTTTAGACTTTAACCAATGAAAATATTTCCTATAGGCGTGAAGTTATTATGGGATACTTGCAAGTGACGTAGTGTGGGTATCTTTATCCTGATTGGTTGTTGAAACGCGTCATTTGTCAAGTTAGCGACTGTTCTTTTCATTCTATTTCGAGTAAGCCAAGCCCGTCAAGTATCAATTCTCCTAAGTAACCCATTCTAAATTCTTTCACAAAGATTCTTTCACTATATATTTACACAGAGACTTAACACAAAGACAGGCATAAAGCCACGTGGAACATAAACAAACTAATTATGCATTGCAGTTACCAGATACACAAAGCAAAAATATATCACGGTTACAATTATAACATACATAAACAAATAATAAATCTAAGTTAAGTAAAAGTAGACGAAAAAGAATTAAACTTCAACTAATTTGATGTGCGATATTTAATTAACTTATCGTTAATTAGCATTCTAATTTATGTCAAGAAACTTAGCTCAACTTTAATACGCCATTTTGCTCATAAAGATTAGCTGGAGCTGACGTCATAGGTCACATGTGTGGGTATGGGAGGTCTTCTTCTTGAAGTGCAAGTTCCCAGCTGGGAGAACAAAGCAAAAGGAAATTGTTTTGTTCTCAATACAACTCTCAAACCTTTTATAACCTAAAGAAAAGAAATGTTTTTGAGGGAAAATAGACAATTTATGAAAAAACAAACAATTCTCAAAACCAATTTAAAATGGTTTGTAAATATTGAATTGCATGTAAATAATTCCAAAAACGAACAAAAGTGAATATTTATGCTTTAATATTTTCTAAGATAAGTCTTTTTCTTTCTCGAATGAAGGGGATAATTTTCTCATTTCTCAAATACACGTTATTTCTTCGGGCCTCTTCATGAAAACGCTCATCCTTCATTTCATACCTATAAAACAAATAAATAACAATCGCTGTAACGCATAATCATGTTAAACAATGTTGCATGTAAACATGCTATGCATGGTAGACAATAAAAATCACTATACAAAATATATATTTAAATTCCTAGTTTTCTTTTTTCTTCATTTTTTTTTGTAGGAGTGTGCATTGGATATGCTTAGAATACCTTTGAAACCCGTTATATTCCAAATCATTGCAGATGAAACACCGATGTTTCAAATCTGATAAACGAATTAAAAGTTCAGTAAGAAAATGGAAGGAGATAGAAAGGCACATGAGTTCTGCTAAGGAAACTAGTTTATAGTCATTTTTGGGGTGAAATACTTTTTTTAAAAGATTTTCTATAGTTTTTTGAAAACTTGCTAAGACATTATTCAACTATGCAGAGAGGGAAAGGAGTTTAAAATATTTTATCGTGGAAAATGTTTGATTAAATATATTTTTCCTTTCAATTCCTAACATTACAGGCACCAAAATAAATAAATAAATAGTAAAAGTTTATTTATAATCAGTAGTTTAATTGGATGAAAATATGCCTGTGCAATTATACAGACTATAATGTTATCCCTCAATCTTGGCTTTTTATTTTGAAAAAGATGCTTATCAAAACATTATTATCAATGAAATAATAAACTTTTGCATTACATTCAAATGTAACCAGAAAATTGTATTTTTGAAAGGTATGTTTATGCCAATGTTTAACAAAATAGGAATAGCAAATTCAAAATTGCTGTTTTCTGATAGGAGGAGATTTTTTTGGAGATAATGTATCCATCAAATTTGAGAGTATGGACAATAATGTTGCAGTGCTGAAAACTGTTTTTTGCCGGAACGAAAATCACCGCATTTTGGAGAGGAAATCTAGAGCAATCAGGAATTTTTTTTGATGAATAATTATCAAATCATCTGAAGTTATCAAGTTTTTTTTTTATTTAGTTGCTTTTATTTAGCTTTGTTTTATTGCAACCCCTTTTATTTTTCTCTCTATTTACCGAAAAAGCATTTTAAATATTTTCATTTTCATATTTATTTCTGATTTTTCTTTTTAAAAAAAATTCACTTTATACGCAGGAGTTTACCGAAATATTAATGGAATTTGTGCATCAAACTGCTTCAATCAATTTTAAGAATTTCCACATTGAGCTATAGTTTTCTTCTTTATTAACCATATTCATAGAAACGGGATAAAGGAATGAAAGATGATCGCAATTTAAAATTAGGAATGTTGTTAGTGGCTAATTTCGCCAATTATCAAATGTCTCAATATGGCACAGTTGTTTTTCAACTAAGCATATTAGCAAAGCTATAATATGAGCAGATAATACTAAAATTATTTGTTTATAAATAGAGTCAATATTTTAAATTGAAAATTAGAGTTCCCAAAAAAGGTTCCACCTCACTAAAAAGTTTTGGAACTGTATTTAAACATAGGAAGGCAAAACTTACCACTTATAGGTAGGTGATCTGAGCCTCTCAATTTCCTGAAGTTGCCTTTTTTTCAGCAGCAGCTTTTCTTCTATCTTTAATTTTTCTTTCCGCAATCTGGCTAACTCGACCATGTAGGGAGACGGCGGCAAATGATCAAAGCTTAGCTCTTTCACCGGCCTCAAAGCGTCTTCAGAAACAGGTGAAACAAAATGCAATTTACTGGGATACTTTAAGTCGTAAGTTCTTGGTCTAGAAAACAAAAGGTTGCACTTTCATTTGGAACGGACAGTAGATAAAATTAATTCCAACTCATAGCAAGTTCAGTGCACAGGCACGCTCATAAAATTATCCCACTTCAAATTAGTGGAATAAGGAAAGAATTCTTACAACATTAAAAAAATGTATTTCCACTGACATTGAAACTTCAAACCAACTAGCGTCCCGCAGTGGACTGATCGTTAGGACACGCTTCCCAGCAGATCACCGAAGTCAAGCATCACTGGCAGTGTGCGGGTGGGTGACCACTTGGATCAGTCTGCGTAGGGACCGAGGGTGTGCGGTATGGGTCCTCGTTAAACTGTTCTACCGTAAAGTGCTCGACTTCACACGCAGGTCGTCGGGGTACCGAAGCAGGGGAGCCATCCCCTCCGCAGAGGATCAAAATTGTGATGGCATGTCTTCGGATCATCCTCAGGGATGTTTCCCAGACCGTCGCCGATAACCCATTGTGCAGCTCTAGTGCGACGTAAATGAACAACAACAACAACAATCAAACCAACTAGCGAAAATTATAACTTAGCTTATTTTTGTTAAAAACTTTGAAAATGCATCTATTAAATGCCGTGATTTAAAAACAGATAAGCCACGTCTATAAGATACGATTAATATATAACGATCACCAGTCCCGCATAAAACATTTTATTAAGCAACAGTGCTAATTTCGTTTGCAAAAGTTAGTTATCTACCAGAGTTTTACTAATCTATTTCTAAATTCACTGAAACACCGTCTGACGTCATAACAAAAAATGTGAATATTTTTTTTCATATATAAACCAAGTCACCATGCTGAACACTCCTTATGGACTCACTATTTTGCTGTTACAACTTTACAAAAAACTGTTAAATAATCCGTGATTGACTGCGAAACATAATTTAACGAAAAGAAACAACACAAGAAACGTTTTCCTCATAGTAGGAGTCCCGCAGTGGACTGGTCGTTAAGACACGGTTCCCAGCAGATCACCGAAGTCAAGCATCACTGGCTGCGGTCAGTGTGCGGGTGGGTGACCACTTGGATCAGTCTGCGTAGGGACCGAGGGTGTGCGGTATTGGTCCTCGTTAAACTGTGCTACCGTAAAGTGCTCGACTTCGCGCGCAGGTCGTCGGGCTACCGAAGCGGGGGAGCCATCCCCTCCGCAGAGGATCAAAATTGTGATGGCATGTCTTCGGATCATCCTCAGGTATGTTTCCCAGACCGTCACCAATAGCCCATTGTGCAGCTCTAGTACGACGTAAATGAACAACAACAACTCATAGGAGAAGCGATAAGATATCTTTATCTTGTTTAATTATTCGAATGTATTATTTTTAAATTAATATTAACTGCACCGTACATCTAAGAATAATATTGCTTTACCAAATAATTTGTGAAGTAACTAATTTTTAAAATCACTGATGTTTAAGCATGGTATTTTTATCGAGTTTATTCATGCTATTCTGTGCCAAATAAACATTATTTTTTTTGATAAAGAAGTTTTATATATTTATATAAGTTGAAAAAGTTCATTATTACTTTACACAACTCTGTTGATAGGAGAAAAAAGATCAAACGAACAAAAACTCGATACTGTTTATATGATTTTTGAAAAAGAGAGTAAGCGAAGTTTGAGAGAAATTTCGCCAAATGTTAGTAACCACTTCCGATATCGTACTATATCGTAACCGCAATCTGGACAATTTTTAAGCCTATTGTAAATTTTTAACTACATTAGATACAGGATTGCTACATTAGATACTAACTAGATACCTGTTTTTATTCTATTTTATAACTGTCGCTGAACAGCCGAATTAATCTTTTGGTTTTCGATTACTAAGTATCGACATCGCAATCTTGTAATTTTGTACCCAATCCAGAAGACAAGGGAACTCCTAGATTACGTATTGGAAGAGAATTTGTCTTTGTAGAGGACTTTTCCATGAGACAAAACTGCATTTGCGTTATATGGAAAGGAAACCACGAAACCCTCCCACGGTTAGCCTGACGGCAAAGAGACTCTACCCCATGGTCACTGATGATATTTTAAGTGAGTAGGTGCTAGCTGGATGCTCAATTCGTATCAACCAGCCATCATCAAGATTTGAATTCGGTTCACCTCTTGCGAAGGCGAATGCTCTTTCCCATGAGCCATCACGGCTTCATCAGCTGTAAATCTCTAACTACATTAGATAACTATTTTAATGATATCCAGAAGAAGAAAAAACTGCATTTAACAAACCTATGAGCTGAGGCATCTCGCTTGCTTCTGGCTGTTGGTGGAACTACCGGGCATTCATCTTTAATATATTCATCAAAAGGAATGTTCTTATAGTTGCCACACAAGTACTCTTCCTCGGGTACCATTTCCTTGAAGCTAAAGCAAAATTCATTAGCAATGGAAGGTAACGATAAATTGATGATCGAGTTTTCCCGCATACGATTTTTATTACGTTTGTGAAATTTACGATAACTGGGTGATTTCTCCGTCACGGCATTCTTATTGATGCAACCAGTACAGAAACTTTTTGTCAGTACTGAAGAAGATTTACGGTTGTTAAGCTCAGCTGCGGGTAAGAGGAATTTCATGTTTTTCTGAGGATAATTCACTTTTGGAAGCTGCATTTCTAATCTCTTGAGAGGCTTTCTAGTTCCAGAACTAAGATCGTTTTCGATACGATCTCCCAACTGGCTATTGTTGTCAGAATTCGAAGAATCCTCGCTCAGGGAAGTAGATCCGGAAATCAGGGGGTGCGTGTCGTCCAGGTGCTTCTCGAATTTCTGTCGCAAGTCGAAGTCAAAGTCGAGTGTTGCATCTTTGACGGCTTCGATTCTTGTGAAATGAAGATCGGGCAGCAAGTATCCCAGAGTAACTGGACAGTATTTTCTTATGCAGTATTCTTCTTCGGAAGGAAAGAAGGAAAGAGTTTCCGGAGAAGGCGGATGAGAAGTGACGAAGTTCTGTTCCAAATTGTTTCTCAGGTGATTGGGTCTTAGGAACCACGCTGGCGAAGACTTTAAGAGATTGTTGGTCATGGTGAAATCCAATTATATTATGTCACTGAAATATAAGAAGGAAAAAAAGGAGTTTTGTTAGATTTAAATGGTATAAAGAAAATTTAAAAATGAAGAGTGATCGATAGTGATATTATAATCGATAAGATGTAGGAGAAAGGGAACCACCTATAGACACTTGCAATATTCCCCCTTATAACCTCATGAGTGTCAAGAGAAAAAAAATGGGTTCACTATAATCTTTGTTGTTGTTGTAGTTCTTTTACGTCGTACTAGAGCAATGGAATGGCATTCCGGTAGATATAGCCTTTATTGAGGTCTCCCCTCTACCAAAAGTAGCTTAAATTTCGAGATTTAAGGGTCACCTAGGCCTTAGTAACAGTCTTACTTTGATTACATCGCACTAGAGCCCCACAGTGGGCTCTTGGCAATGGTCTGCGCGACGGTCTGGGTCCTGAGGATGATCCGAAGACATGTCATCACAATTTTGATCCTCTGCAGAGGGGATGGCACCCACGCTTCAGTAGCCCGACGAACTTCACGCGAAATCGAGCAATTTACGTTAGAACAGTTTAACGAGGACCAATACCACTCACCACCCTACTGATTAAAGTGGTCTCCCACCCGCACTCTGACAGCAGCCAGTGATGCTTGACTTTGGTGATCTACTGGGAACCGTGTCTTAACGATCAGTCCATTGCGGGACTCATTATAATCTCAGAACGGCCTCAGTCTGTAAAAATTTGAAGAAAGGTGACAAACATTCATTGAGGCTGTTGAATGCCTTAAGTAACTAGAGCAAAGAATATAGCAAGGAGAAGTCCAGATCCTAGAATACGTAACTTACGCGGGGAGCTACAACAACTTACAGGGTGAGCCCACATACTCAGATTTGACAGAGCATCATGTGTTCTAAGAACCAGTGCATGCGCATAAGAAGCTGAGTAACTGTTAGGAGATGCGCCACCTGTGAAGCGGTTATTTGACAACTCTACATGTATGGTTGGGTACGCTACCACTCGCAACGCCATTTTATTCTTTCTTTCTTCGTCAAAATGTGTTAGCAGATTTAATCAACATGAATGATATTCAAGTATTCTCAAAGGAATATCTTTATTAACAGTACAGTACCATTTATTAATAGGGTACAATGCTTAACAAACCAATAATAAATAAAGGGAAAAAACTTTTATTTTTCTCTTCAATCCCTGTAGTGGTTAGGAGGTGAGGAGGGTGGAAACCAGTTACAAGAACTTCTGTTGTTTGCCCTAAATGGTGTTTTTTCCCCTTTATACATAGATACTACAACAAACCTTGGAGGACTGGTTTACATTGTGCCTACGGAAGCTAGCCTTCTACCCCTACGCATATATTCTATGACTAGAAGGCTTTATCCCCTGTTCACTCCACTCGCCAACCCCCATATGGTAGCTTCTTATTCATCGTTGTTTAGTTTTTTTTTCTGATAAAGGTATATATACAAAAGATCGTGTAGTTTATATAACGTAAACTTAGTATAATTTTATGTAGGAAAATTTTGTTAATATGTTAATCGTAATGAAATAAACTTATATCTGAATTTGAAAAGTAATCTATCGTTTTTGGAAATGAATATACATGAACTTTGGACCAGGCAGCACAGTAACAAATAATATATGAAGAATAATTTCACTATTTTGGAGGGAGGGAAAAATTTATATGCTGCTTATTAGACGCTTGAGATATTGCTTTTTCCAATACAATTCTAAAAAGAAGCCAATAGTCGTTGTAACAGTAGTTTAGAAGTTATGAGGTTTTTATGTACAAATAGTATAATTTCGGATGCAAACTTTCACATCGCTCTCCAGCCTTCAGCAAACGTCCAAGCAAATGAGGTATTATTTCGAATGTCTTTTTTTCTTACTTAATGGAATGAGACAACACACGAGATAATATTTCTAAAGTGGAAATGTTTGTATTATGTAAAAAGTAATATTTTTAAATTGTATCTTTCTGCAAAGAGAACCTTTAACGATTCTCCCTGAAGATTCTAGTTTAGTGCATTCAATTCAGCATAAAAAATTATAATAAAATTCTATTTACTAAACTGCAATGTAAAAAGTGTCCAAAAGTAAAATTGTTTTACTTCTATTGTTTAAAAGCAGAATTGTACCTATTGGCGTATCTAAAATAGCGATCTAAACAAGCTAGACATTGCTTTCTGCGTATTTTTTTTTAATGTTAAGTTGAGTGAAACTAAAATCAATGAATTGAGTGAAACTAAAATTTTGAATCGAGTCAATGGGACGAGTCAGTTTAAAGTTTGCAAATAGTGTATGAAACGCAAAACATGTGACATATTATTCTTGAGTCTGCCCGATTCAGAGAGTATATATACACTACCGGTCAAAAGTTTGCGAAAATTTTTAAATCTGCAAAGAAAAGGCCTAAATTCAAATGTTCATAGAACTGCAAAAAATCATTCAAATGGCATGAAAATTTGATATGTTCTGAAGTGAACCCTCTACTGTTAGTTACATATGATCAAATTGCAATACTTTGTTTTTTGCGAACTGAATCCAGCTTTTCATCACGGATTGTTTTTATGGTGAAAAAAGTTGTTAAGTTTGAACACTTGCCAAACTTGCAAAAAATATTTTTNCTTCACGCGAAATCGAGCAATTTACGTTAGAACAGTTTAACGAGGACCAATACCACTCACCACCCTACTGATTAAAGTGGTCTCCCACCCGCACTCTGACAGCAGCCAGTGATGCTTGACTTTGGTGATCTACTGGGAACCGTGTCTTAACGATCAGTCCATTGCGGGACTCATTATAATCTCAGAACGGCCTCAGTCTGTAAAAATTTGAAGAAAGGTGACAAACATTCATTGAGGCCGTTGAATGCTTTAAGTAACTAGAGCAAAGAATATAGCAAGGAGAAGTCCAGATCCTAGAATACGTAACTTACGCAGGGAGCTACGACAACTTACAGGGTGAGCCCACATACTCAGATTTGACAGAGCATCATGTGTTCCAAGAACCAGTGCATGCGCATACGAAGCTGAGTAACTGTTAGGAAATGCGCCACCTGTGAAGCGGTTATTTGACAACTCTACATGTATGGTTGGGTATGCTACCACTCGCACCACCATTTTATTCTTTCCTTCTTTGTCAAAATGTGTTAGCAGATTTAATCAGCATGAATGATATTCAAGTATTCTCAAAAGAATATCTTTATTAACAGTACAGTACCGTTTATTAATAGGGCAAAATGCGGAACAAACCAATAATAACTAAAAAGAAAAAACTTTTATTTTCTCTTCAATCCCTGTAGTGGTTAGGAGGAGAGGAGGGTGGAAGCCAGCTGCAAGAACTTCTGTTGTTTGAACCTAAATGGTGTTTTTCCCCTTTATACATAGAAACCACAATAAACATTGGAGGACTGGTTTACATTATGCCTATGGAAGCCAGCCTTCTACCCCTATGTATATATTCATTGACTAGAAGGTTCTACATATGGTAGCTTCTCATTCATCGTTATTTATTTATTTTTTCTCATAAATGTCGATAAGCAAAAGATCGTTTAGTTTATACAATGTAAACTTATTATACTTTTATGTTGGTTCGTTTTGTTAATATGTTAATCGTAATGAAATAAACGTATACCTAAGTTTGAAAAATAATCTATCGTTTTTGTAAAATAACATACATAAACTTTGGAATAGGCAACACAGTAGCAAGTAATGCATGAAAAGTAATTTAACTATCTTGGCGGGTAGGAGAAAATTATATGCTGCTAATTAGACTCGTGAGATATTGCTTTTTTCGATGTAGTTTTAGAAAGAGGCTAATAGTACTATCATCGTACTAGCAATCACGTTTATATTTAGTACTTTACTTAGGGACCCCTCTCCCTTCTAGCTTATACTCCCCAACCGCCGATACTGTTCACATTTCCTCTAGGATTGTTTTGCAATTCAGATTCGCTTCGTTTGCTCATTGAATACTTGTGCATTGTATAACTTAGTGTGCAGGTTGGTATTTTTTTAAAAAAAATTAAGTTCTAAAAGTATGCAACATTTACATCCCGTGAAATCTTTAATTTTTAAACATTTCATTCAATTTACGTTAAGGTTACTGTGCATGACCAAAATTGGTGGTTGGTTGACTTCCATTAGTGAGTTTTGACAATCACATAGTCGCTTTGGTATATGTCCGAAATATACACTAGGTCTAGTTAAGCGCCACTGCCCAGTACTCCGAACACTGATGTTTCTCCTAATTTATCCTCAGTAGATATTAAAACATCGAATAAATATAATAATATCAATGAATAAATTAATATCAAATCGGATACAACAAACATTTCAGACATTCACCAAAGCGACTACGTGATTGACATCCGCCGGTGAAATTTGACATTCTCTTGATTTCGGTCAATCACGATAATACATACATAATGCTTATTCCAATGCCATTTGGAAATGACATTTAAAACGAATAATTCATAGAATTTTCTTGCATACGCAATTATGAATTTCAGTGCTTGTAGACACTACAGCTTAAGGTCATTTATTCTAACCTAAAACTCGTGAAATATTAAAGGNGATATATGGGTGATTCTTTGGAAACATGACAATTCGGACCAAAAAATTTCTTCAAATTTAAATTCTTCAAAATAATCTAAATTTATTTTGTATACTTATTTAGTTACATTTATTAATATCTTACAGACAGCAGTGTAGTTTATTGAAATTTGCTCAAGAAAAAAATAAAGGAAAAACTTAAGCCTTTATGTTAGATAGATGGACCATAAATTGCTTAAATTAATTCTTTTTATCCATTGTAGAAAGAATCAAAAATGTTTTTGTTGCTGATATGTACACAGAATAAAATTGTGTAATAATCAATCATTAAATATATAAATAACTTTGATTACATTCAATCATATTACAATCATACATAAACTTGGTATTAGGTTAATATTTGCTTTCCCTCCTTACAGTATACCTTTTATAAATTAAGATTTTACATGTATTTTTATAC